TGCTGTTCAATCGTTTGGAGGGTGGTATGGCTTCTCACCATCCATTTGTACAGCTTAGCCAGGGGCTGTGCCACCAAACCCCATCATCTATGCTCTGCTCCTCCCCAGTTGTCTCTACTATTTCCTCTTTTGTGGGAATACTTGAAAATATAGGCACGAGTAAGTGATGCGAAAACATGACTAACTCACGCGCAAATTTCTGACGGGAAATTTGCCAGGTTGCTATGGGAAACACACACTGCAAGGAGCATCTGCTCCCTGACTTCTCTTCTCTGTCCTAATACATTCACTTACACTCTCAGGAGGTTTTGCTGTCCTTGCTGACACATGGGAATATACTAGCAGGGTCTATGATTCCCTTTCACAAATATTGAGTGGTTCGTATGTTTATCTTCTCTTGTGCACTCAGCCTGACAAGGAATCAGACCCAGGGAAAATCTGTGTCATTGTATGACTGTCAATTCTGCAAGACCATGATACAATCTCAAGACATGAAATCTGGCCATAATATCATGATGTTTCTGTTGTCATTTGGAACTCACACATTATAAACCTAACCATTTCAAACACTCAGGAATCCACTGACACTTAACATATAGTTTACACTGGTCCTCACTTAGAAAACATTAGATAGGAGCCTCAGTCTTCCCTGCATGCCATCTCCAATGCATTATGCCTGGTTACACAAAGTGGCACTTGTCATTCTTCACTCCTGTTACACAATTTTCTAAACAAAACAAGAACATCCTACAAAGGACTATTTTCCCTTACAGATATCCCTGCAATCCAAACAGTCTGGAAACAGCCTCTTGGTTCCACATAACCAGAGCATCTATAGTCTACTTCATCAGAGAGGAAAACAGCAAAACTATGTTAAAGTCTAGATGTTAATCTGTGCTAGCTAGGTAGAAGATCATTTAATAGGAACAGTGTTTCAGTCACGATTCAAACACTTTTTCTGCAGAAAGGTATTTTCCAGTAAATTGAAAAAAATACTTGATTCTGGCAACTGATATGACTACACATATTAGCCCACAGACATGCTAGTGGAGATGCAATGGGTTTTATTCTTATGCTTCACCTTCAAGAATACATATTTTCAATCCCAGGTCTTTTCATCCAGAATTTTTGTGACGCTTACCTTTTGTCTCTCATTTCCAAAACCTAGTGCAACATTCATATGTAACAAAAATTATGACATACTCTACTAGGTTTGTGTGACAACCTTTTGGTAGTGGCGGGCAGGAAACAGAGGGAACTTTTGTGAAAAGCACTAGAAGCTTCCCCTCTGTCTGACAGAACCAATGCCAGAAGAATCCAAGATGGATGCGCTGCTGGCCAAGGCTGAGCCCATCATTGAGGGTGGTAGTACCTCTGGGATAACATAGTTAAGAAGTGAGGGCAAAACCTGTGAAGCAGCTGTGCAGACACCAGAGTGGGTGGTGAAGAAGCGGAAGGAGGTGCTCAGCACTGGAGCAGAGATTTCCCCTGTAGCCTGTGGGGCAGCCCATGGTGAGGCAGCAAATATTCACCTTCAGCCCATGGAGAACCCCCAGCTGGTGCTGGAAGAATCCCAAATAAAGCTGTGACCCTGCGGGAAACCTGCATTGGAGCAGTCTTTTGGCAGTTGTAGACCCATGGAGAGAGGAACCCACACTGGATCAGGTTTGCTGACAGGACTTGTGACCCTGTAAGAGACCCACACTGGGTCCATCTGTAATTAAATCACTGCACCCCATGGGAAGGGTCCCACCACGCTGGAGCAGTCTGTGAAGAACTGCAGCTCATGGGGAGCACTTGTGTTGAAGAAGTTTATCAACGGCTGTCAAGAGTGGAAGGGATACCATGCTGGAACAGGGGAAGAGTTTGAGGAGTCCTCTCCCCGAGAAGGAAGAAGTAGCAGAGACAATGTGTGATGAGCTGACCCCAGCCCCCATTCCCCATTCTCCTCTGCAGCTGGCAGGGAGAAGGAGGAAGAGAGGAGAGAAACTGGGAATGAAGTTACCTCTGGGAAGAAAGGACAGGTGGAGGAAAGGTGTTTTAAGATTCAGCTTTTATTTCTCATTACTCTACTTTGGTTTGACTGGTAATAAATTAAAATTATTTCCTCAAATGGAGACTGTTTTGCCTGTAACATTAATTGGGGAATGACCTCCCCCTGCCCTAATACCTCAATACACATGCCTTTTAACATACTTTCTCTCCCCTGCTCAGCTGACCCTGACTTTGGTGGGCACCAGGCATCCAGCCAGAGTCAACCCACCACACACTGTTAGATAGTAACAATGATTTTTTTTTTTTTTTTTTTTTTTTTAATTCTGAATCTGGATATTGAACATATGTTTCCCCTATTTTAGTATCTCAGTGAGAGTTACTAATAATGAAATAATGAAACACACAGAAACAAACATTCTGCTGTAGCCTAAGATACAGAAAAGCAGAGAGAAAAAATGGATAGCTGTACCTTTTGTAAGGTACTGGGCTCTTTTTTTCCATTACTAGTTTAATTCTGATTACTCACAGAAGAATCTGGCCCTAAAAGCTAGGCATATCCACACTGTCAGCCACAGATAGAGCCGGGAGAGAGAATCTTAACAAAATGAAGTGCCATTTGCTGGTCAGTGTGGTAAACCAGCAGCTATGTATTTCTCAGGAGTAATAAGGTTATTGCAGGAGTGTTTGGGACACTTGAAGAAAGAAATAGCACATTGTGAATTTGTAAAAGGGAAGCTCCTTCCACAGTGGAGAGAGTTCTTTTACAGGAATCAGAAATACTTCAGATTTCATGCAATCACTGAATCATTTGGGTTGGAAGGGAACTTAAAGATCTTCTAGTTCTAAGCTCTCTGCCACGGGCAGCGACACCTTCCACTAGACCAGGCTGCTCCATCCAACTCGGCTTTGCACACCTCAAGAAATGGGGCATCCACAATTTCTCCTGCCAACCTGTTCCAGTGCCTCACCACCCTCACAGGGAAGAATGTCTTCCCTATATTCAGCCTAAATATCCCCTCTCAGTTTGAACCCATTACTCCTTGTTTTATTTAAGACACTTAATTCTGAATGTAGATTACCAATGTTACTACAAAAACAAACCTGGAAGTTTTGACTGCCCAGGAAAAATAGGGACTTAATTTCATATTTAATAGGGAGTGGGGAAAAATTATTGTAAAAACCCAGTAAAACAAATTGATCCAGTGGGACTAAAATTCATTACATATGTTAGTGCATTACACAGAAAACCTCTCAGAAAATAGCCCAGGAAAGGGAAGGAGTTATCAACCCAATGAAAAATGTCAATTTGATGCCCCAGGATATGACTACACTATTGCAGTGACTTCTTTAATTGGTTGTACTTTCCGACACAAGTACTTACCGAGACTTTTTTCCCAAGCAGACATGCTGCATTTCACACTAGCAGAAGCACTGTAAAGTTTTATTTATGTACAAATGATGCCAGTGAAAGCTGTGCCATCAGGGTAGCATCTCATGAGACGCTTTTTGGAAAGAAAACCCGAGGTGGGAGATCAGCAGTACAATAAAAGCCTTTATTCCTAGCTAGCGATCGCGTTATGCCTTTAAAACCTCAACCCCGCCGAGTATTTGCACAGGGCAGCGGGGGCGGGTTTGGGTGGGCAGCGCCGTTCCGCTCTCGGCAGCAGCGAGGGGCACATCAGGGGCGGGATGGCTCCGCACCTCCCGCCACCGCCGCTCCTCCGCGGACACGCGCGGGCGCGCCCCCGAGCGCCGCCCCACGGCCGCGCGGGCGCCGCCGCACCCGGCTCGGGGCCGAGCCCGCGCCGCGCTCGCCGCCGTGCGCCGCCTGCCGGGGGGAGGCCGTGCCCGCGCCCCGGGCTCGCACACGCGGCGGGCGCAGGCGCGGCTGGGTGGGGCGGGTGCCCGCGCCGCGGCGGGAACGGCTGCGGCCCGCGCGCCCCCGCGGCCCGAGGAGGATGGGGGGGGGGGGGGGAGCCGAGCCGCGCGTCCCCCGAAGCGGGGGAAGGGCGATGGGAACCGGCGCGCCGCAGGCCCCGCTGCGCCCCCCTCCCCGCCGCCCCTGCCTCCTCCTCCGCCTCCTCCTCCGCGCTCCCCGGGCACAGGCGCGCCCTCCGCTCGCAACGCGCATGCACGCACCCCCCGCGCCCCCCCTTCCCCGAGCGCGCGCGCGCGCGCACTGGAGTGCTCGTGCAGGAGGCGGCGGTGACGGCCGGAGAGACGCGCGCAGGCCCCCCCCCCCAAGACCCCCTCCCCAAATTCCCCCCCATTCCCTCCCTCCCTCCTTCCCGTCCCTTCCCCCGTCCCTCTCCCGCGCGGCGGCAGTGGCAGCGGCAGCCCCCCCGCGCCCCCCGGGAAGCGCGGCTCCGCGCGCGCGGGCGGGCGGCAGGTAAGCGCGAGCCCTTTCCCCCCTCCCCCCCCGCTCCGCTCCCGCGCCGCGGCCGGGCCGCCGTTCCGCTGCGCGCGCGCGCGCGCGCTCTCCCTCGCACGCCCCCTCCCTCCTCCTCCTCCTCCTCTTCCTCCTCCCCCTCCCTCTGCCATCCCTCCCCCGCTCGCCGCCGCCGTTACGGCCCCGGCAGCGCGCGCTGGGTGAGATGGCGCCGCCGCGGGCGCGCCCGCCGCCAGCAGCCCCGGCGCCGCCGCGCGCCTGCCTCCCGCGGGCGAGGGGAGGGCCAGCGGGAGCGGGGGGAGGAGGAGGAGGAGGAGGACGAGGACACGTCCAGCGACGGATGCGCACGCTGGGGCGCGCGGGTTCCGCGCGGCGGCCACCGCAACAAAGGGGCGCGCGGCCGCGACCAGGCGGCGGGAGCCGCGGGAGAGCAGCTAGAGCGGGGAGGGCGAGAGGCACAGACGGACGGACGGACGGACAGAAGGAGGGAGCGGGGCGCCGTCCCCGCGCAGCCCCGTGAGGCGGCGCGGCGGGAGCGCCGGGCTCGCTCCGGAGAGCGGCCGCCTGGCGCTCGCGGGCGCCCCCGACGCCGGGCCGGGAGCGCGGGCGGCGCGGCAGGGGCCGGGCTGGTCCCGCCGGGAGCCCGCCCGCGCCGCGGGTGCGTGGAGCGGGCGTGCGCCTCGGCGGTTACGGGCACGGCGGCCGCGAGAGCCGAGCGTGTCCCGAGCAGTCTCAGCCCCGAAAACGCCTCCCTGCGGCCCTTACGGAGGATGCGGCCGCGTAAAAAGTGTGTGGAGGAATAAGTATGAATTGCCCAGAGGAGTAAGTAACCGGAGCTTTCTTAAATCAGAGCTGGAAAGGCTCTGGGCAAGTGTCTGACCCGCTCCAATCGGCAAAGGACTAACTTTGTTTTTTGCCAGTTCACCCTTGTGTACTCTGCAGCCCTGTTTTCAGCCAATTACTTCTATAATTAGTTCTCTCTTAGTGTCGACAGAATTGCAGCAAAACTGAATACTGTTTAACAGGACGGTGCAATTTCTGCTAGATTACTAGCAGCGACGTCTCACTGTTTAAAAAGAAAGCATTTTCCCCATCTTGCAAAGAACTCTAAAAAGATCCCGTTGAAATAGTTGTTTGTCATACCATCTTCAGTGCTGGACTGATACATTTTCCTGGGCCAGCAGAACCAGATACCCCATAAATATATACAATATTGCTTTCCGGTTTTGTTTCCTTTTGTGTATTTCAAGTATTTACAGACTTACTATCTGGCTATCTTAAAGTTTTGTTATATAGGACTAAGAAAAGAATTTTGGCTGTCCTTTTTTTTGCCTTTTTTTTTTTTAATTTTTCTGTGTAGCCAGAAACACTTTAGTGGAGGTTCCAGGACTGCAGAGGTATTTGTAGGGAGCCAGGTGTTCCCATACTGTTCCCATACAGCACCAAGAGTTGCAAACCTATCATCATTCCTGTCATCTGCTTCTGCTTTATATATGGTTAAGGATAAATTAGAATTTAGGGAAGAAATTCCCAGGAGATCTGTGCCAGGCAGCACAGGATTTGTTCCAAACCAAGTATTAAATTTCCCTCCTCTCTGCTGTATTTTCTGCTTTGGCACAACGTTTTAGCAATGTATTTTATCTAACTTTAAATAATTGAAAATGCTCTCTTTTAACACTCAGAATAATTTTTGGAATAGATAATATCACATCTTGAAATGTTATTATCTTCCCATCTTTCAGGCTGAAGGTGGCCCATTCTGAGATTAATTTAATAATCGTTTGCTTAGAAAACTTCCTGCATTGTTCATGGTAAGGCTTATATTTGATATTTCAAATTTAGTTTGTCGTGCTGACTTATTTAGTGTATTTCTTACACATTTTAAGTGTTAACATTTCCTTTAGCTATAATAATGACTTATGAGTTGGGTCATGCATTTACTCAGAATTGCAGTTTAAAAGAAAAAGCTTTCAATTTTGTGTAACTGAATCAATAAAGATTTGAATAATTGTAAATTGTGTAACCTAAGAAAGACCTTTATGCATTCACAATTTTAAAATCAGTTTCAGAGTAATGCTTTTAGAGTCTAACAGGCTTTTTGTGGTCATTTTATGTAAAAAAAAAAGGTTGCGTTTTTCTTAAATGATGGAAATTACTTCATCGCTTGGGATTTTGTGACTTGGACTGCTTTATAAAAGTTACAAAATTTTCCTGTTAATTTACAGGAGTTTTTCATCAGTATGTCTGAAACCATTAAGTATAATGACGACGATCACAAAACTGTGTTCTTGAAAACACTGAATGAGCAACGTTTGGAAGGAGAATTTTGTGACATCGCTATTGTGGTTGAAGATGTTAAGTTCAGAGCCCATAGGTGCGTGCTTGCTGCCTGCAGTACCTACTTCAAAAAGCTTTTCAAGAAACTTGAAGTTGATAGCTCATCAGTAATAGAAATAGATTTTCTTCGTTCTGATATTTTTGAGGAAGTTCTCAATTATATGTATACTGCAAAGATTTCTGTTAAAAAAGAGGATGTAAACTTGATGATGTCTTCAGGCCAGATCCTTGGTATTCGGTTTCTTGATAAACTCTGCTCTCAAAAACGTGATGTATCTAGTCCTGAAGAAAACACACAGTCCAAGAGCAAGTACTGTCTAAAAATGAACCGTTCTATAGGGGAACCCAATGATACCCAAGATGATGAGGTGGAAGAGATCGGAGATCATGATGACAGTCCATCAGATGTGACAGTGGAAGGCACTCCCCCAAGTCAGGAAGATGGTAAATCACCAACCACTACCCTGAGAGTGCAAGAGGCAATTCTGAAAGAGTTGGGAAGTGAAGAAGTTAGAAAAGTAAACTGTTATGGCCAAGAAGTAGAGCCTATGGAAACAACGGAATCTAAAGACTTAGGATCTCAGACACCTCAGGCACTCACATTTAATGATGGCATAAATGAAGTGAAAGATGAACAGACGCCAGGATGGACCACAGCAGCCGCGGATATGAAGTTTGAGTACTTGCTTTATGGTCACAGGGAACACATTGTATGTCAGGCTTGCGGCAAGACCTTTTCTGATGAAGCGCGTTTGAGAAAACATGAAAAACTACACACTGCAGACAGACCATTTGTTTGTGAAATGTGTACGAAGGGCTTCACCACGCAAGCTCATTTGAAAGAACACTTGAAAATACACACGGGTTACAAGCCTTACAGTTGTGAGGTGTGTGGGAAGTCTTTTATTCGGGCACCAGATCTAAAAAAACATGAAAGAGTTCACAGTAATGAGAGGCCATTTGCATGCCATATGTGTGATAAAGCTTTCAAGCACAAGTCCCACCTCAAAGACCATGAAAGAAGGCACCGAGGAGAGAAACCTTTTGTCTGCAGTTCCTGCACTAAAGCATTTGCTAAGGCATCTGACCTAAAAAGGCATGAGAACAATATGCACAGTGAAAGAAAGCAAGTTACAGCAGCCAATTCCATCCAGAGTGAAACAGAACAGTTGCAGGCAGCAGCCATGGCTGCTGAAGCAGAGCAGCAATTAGAAACTATAGCCTGTAGTTAAAAACTAAAGCAGGAATTTTATCAGAATAATATAAGAAATGAAATGGAGCAAAATTTGTTGTTGATGTACATTTAGACTGAGAATCTTTTCAAGAAAGCATATTTTTAGAGGATTTGAATGTTACATAGGGATAAATACATAGCTTCTCTTGGTTAGGTATTTTAAAACATTTCAGAGATGGGTATTCTTAGAATGTGAAACAGTTTCATTGTCACTAGCAGTATAATGCACTAATAACTGCTTTAGTTTCAGAATGTGATCAAGTTCTCTGCACCTGGCTCTCAGCAGCCACGGGATGGAGGTTCACTGTCCCGCAAGTGGCTGGTGGGCAGATACTTGTGTGGCTGTCCCCGAGTCTCTGCCGAGACTGTTGCGGGTGGCGGTGATTGCTGCAGCGCGGGGAGCACAGTAGAAGCACAGAGCACAAGGAAACAGAGGCAAATAAGGGAAGGGCACTTGTCTGAATCTCCAAATCTTTAATGACGAAGTCGGGGTGGAACAAGTGAACTGAATCTTGACCTGAACAGAGTACTTTTATAGGGTAGAGGGAACATGGGGAGGGCATAACCTTTAACCAATAGGAGGGCATTAGGGGAGGGGTGCAGGGTAAGGGCTCCCCAGTAGAAGCCAATATGGGGAGGGAGCAAATTTTACAACCCAATTCTGCTTTGAGGAGGGGATGAGAGACGGGGAACTCTCCAGAACCAAAGCAGTGTGCTATCTTAGACAGACAGGGGTGAGACAAGGGAACAAGGGAAGTATACAGGTGGATTGACATATATTTTGTTGGGGAAAACTGTGGTAAACAACTCAGGACTGAACCTGAGGAAGCCAAATGGGGTACATGCACTGAACCATTACAAACTTATAACAAGGAATATTAAAAACATACTACATAAGAACCAGCTGTAAAATAACAGACTACCACATCTCCCTGTATTTTGTTTTATAATGTTGAAAAACAGCTGAGGAGAGGTACCAACTCCATCCTGGAACTGAGTTCTTTTAAACTAATGTGCTTTCAGGGGCACCTTCTTCCCACTACTCTTGGTCTGTAGTGGTAGCAGCTACCACAGTCTTTGAAGAGGATGGGTTGGCTGTGGCAGTGGGAATAACTTGTTTTAAGATTCCAAAAACTATTGAGACTAGAAATACAGCAACTATAAAGCAACTAATGTCTTTTGCAACAGAAAGCATCCAGACTGACAGGCCCCAATTCTTGAATCATCATAGCTGGTCAGGTGGTTGTCTAGGAAAATGACAACACAACCATGAAATACAGGCAACCAAACACCACGTGGTGGGAAAAAGAGTCAGGGTCATCCTCCTCCCTTGCGACGCTTTCCGTCTGATGCAACTGTATAATTGGCGGGGTTATTTTGGGGATTTAAAGGGACAATTTCCGACTCAGTTTCCTCTCTTGTATGGTTTCATCCACTTCTTGGGCATCCACTTTACTCCTGAGAACGTGGACAGACATGCATATCCACGGCCCCATGTCACTAATTTAAAGGGACCCTGGATCTCTTTAGAGTCTGGATCTCTCACCATAACAGGAGGTCTTTCCTTGACTGGCAGTTGTTGGTAATTGTAAAAATGCCTCAGGACTGGTGGGTTTGGGTTGTCAAAGGAGCAGTTAAGAAAGTTGATAGTAAACAAAGCTTTGTACAACCTGTGCTGCGGTAACAAGACCTGGAAATCTCCTCTCTGGTGGGTTGTATTGTGTTTTTATATTTCTGTAACAGTTCTGTAATGGTGTGCCCTTCCACCCCCCATTTTCTCCCAATGGTTCCACCCCAAGTTTTCCCGCCGTTCCCTCAGTGCCAATCTCCCTGAAAATGCTTAGTCACTTCCCCCTCCCCTCTCTGGTACCCACTTGGCTCCCCATCCCATTCTTCCTGAATCTTCTACCCTGGGCGTTGAGGGATTGGATGAGGGCCCGAAGTCCCGCCCTTAAGTTTCCCCCATTGATTCTTGTATCTGTCTCTCCTTTCACCTTCCCTTCCCCCAAATCCCCCCATTGGTCAATGGGCGTTCCCTTCCCCTGGTTTTTAAGATGTTGCACCTCGGTATTTAAGATGTTGCAAAAGCCTCGAGGCCACTTTTGGCTGCTGGATTCTTTGTAGCTCCAAGCTCCCCAGAGCCTGGATTAAAACCAAAACTGTTTTCCTTGCCTTAAGTCAACTCCCTTATTATCTCCTCTGACGCCCCTCTCCTCCAAACAAGGCAGACAGTGTAACTTTCTGCCTTAGCCGCTCCCCCACTCTCCTCTAGAACCAGGGGAGTGACCCCCGCACCTGACTGTGCCTCTGCAGGGCAGCAGAAGCCAGGGGGCTTCAGATTAGAACAGCAGCAGCAGGTGAGGACTTTTTTGAGTGTTTGATGGGTCCTCTCTATCACAGCTTGGCCGGTGGGGGAGTATGGTCCGATGTTGAACTCCCCATTCCTGCAAAAACTCACTGAACGTCTTGGATGTATAGCCTGGGCCATTATCTATTTTGATGGTTTTGGGGACTCCCAAGGTTTCAAAGGCCTGTACAAGATGTTTCTGTGCATCTGAGACCTTTTCCCCTGCATGGGCCGAGGCAAAAACTGCTCCCAAGAAGGTGTCCACTGATACATGTACGTTTTTCAGCTACCTGAATTCAGGCACATGCGTCATGTCAGTTTGTCAGACCTCACAACTGCAGAGTCCTCTTGGGTTTACTCCTGAACTCACTGATGGTAAGGAGGACTCCTGACAGTTTGGGCATGTGACCACAATCACCTTGGCCTGATCATGCCTCAGGTTAGAATTGGCGGATCAGACCAGGAACGTTTTGATGGAATTGCTGATGGCTAAGCTTGGCCTGTTGGAAGATGTTAGGTTGGCTGGCCAGCTGCAAAGGGGCAGCTAGGACGTCTGTGCTATTGTTCTCTTCACTGATGAACCCAGGGAGGTCAGTGTGTGACCTCACATGCATCACAAAAAAGGATTGCTCTCGGTGGGAAACTAGATATACAAGCTTTGAGAGCAAGCCAAAGATGACTGGATTGGAGACTTCCTTCAAGACTGCATGTTCTACTCTGGACACCACTCCTGCTATGTAAGCTGAATCGGTAACAATATTAATTGATACTGGGAATTTCTCAAAGACCCTTATGAGTGCATCTAACTCAGCAACTTGAGGAGAGCCCTCTACAATTTTAACATCGGCTTCCCACTGCTGAGTTTGAGGATTTTTCCGGGTCATCACTGACTTGTGGGACACTCTGGACCCATCAGTAAAGACTGTCAAGGCTTTTAATGGGTGTCTACTTTGAATTTCTTTTGGAATCAAATTAAACTCGACATTAAACAATTGGTGAGCTTAGTGATGGAAAGAAATTTGGCCTGGATAACTGTCCACAGCAAACTGCAAATTCTTGTTTTTGTGGAGCAAGTGCTTCAAGGTCTCGTTGGTTAGTTTCTCAGCTGATGTTTTGATGGGGACATGGATACACGTGAAGTCGCACCCCGCCAACAGTTGCAGACGGACTTTAGCCTTTATGATCAACTGAGCCATCAGCTCCTGTGGCTGCGTGATGCTTTTGGACAACTGATGAGTGAGGAACACCCACTCTATGATTAGGAGAGGGTCCTTCTGGTCCGTGTCCCATTGAAAAATGAGCCTGTGAAGGTGTGGTAAACTTACCTAAGATAATGTAGCAGAAGGGAAGGCCCTCACACCTACAATGGGCTTGCCAGCCTGCCAGTGTGGATTGCACCTTCTCAGAGCACTGTCCTCGCCTCCTGGGTCAAGGCCCTCGGAGAATCTAACCCCTCTCCCCACCTCAACAAGTTGAAAAGGGGAGACAGATCCTCCATGGTGAGCCCCAGCCAGGGCCTGATCTGGTTCAAAGACCCACACAACTGTTGGAGGTCCTGCAGGGTTTTTGCGTTGTCATTTATGAAAACCCTCTGGAGCTTGATGGTCTGGTTGAAAATTTCAAGCCCTAGATACTTCCAAGGTGGCAGCTTCTGTACTTTCTCCCTTTGCAACTCCAATCCATCTGTTGCCAAGGCAGTGATAGTATCCTCAAGCACTCCTGCAAGCACATTGTCATTGGGGGCACAAACAAGAACATCGTCCATATAGTGATATATGATGCAATCTCTGGTTCTAGCACACACTGGGGACAGGACTCTGGCGACATACCACTGGCAGATGGTGGGAGAACATTTGAGGCCCTGAGGCAATACTCTCCAGTGATAGCACTTCATGGGAGCTTCTCTATTGATGGAGGGCACAGAGAAAGGAAAGCGTGGAGCATCGGCTGGGTGAAGGGGAATTTGAAAAAAGCCATCTTTTATATCGATGACAGCCAATGACCACTTTTGGGGCAGCATTGAAGAGGATGGCATCCCTAGTTGGAGAGGCACCATGTCCTCGATTACATCATTGATTTTTCTCAAATCGTGGAGGAGGCACCACTTATCCCTCCCTGGCTTTTTGATGACAAAGACTGGGCAGTTCCAAGGGCTATTGGCTTCAATGATGTGACCGTTGGCCACCTCCTCCTCAGCAATCTGAGTGAGCGCACTTAATTTCTGTGTGTTCAGTGGCCACTGTTCTACCCACACTGGTGTATCTGTCAACCAATTTAGTTTCTGGGCAGGGTGCTCCTCAGTGACTGCCACTAAAAATCCTGAGTGTCTGGAAGTTCCAATTTGCCCTCCCATTGAGACATGGCATCTCTCCCCCATAGGGTGAACTTGGAATTCAACAGAAATGGGTGTATGGAGCCCAATTTCCCATTCGGTCCCTCAGTTTGTACAATGCTTCTGGATCTTTTAGCTAATTGGATGCCCCCAACACCTAGAACTTTGCTGGGCACACTTTGCAGCTCCCACTGTGATGGCCATTTTTGTGGAGAAATGACCATCACGTCTGCCCCCATGTCCATCATACCTTGTAACTGGAAGGAATGCCCCCCACTTTTAAGGTCACACCATACAAGGGGCTTGTCGTCTTCCAGCACTTCAGTAAAATAAATGGAAAGGTTCAGGTCATTGCTGATGGCATAGAGCACTGGAATGGCCTGCGCAATGACTTGGCCCTCCAGCAGGAAGAGGAGGGGATGGACACAGTGGGCCATGAGACTGAAACGCTCGGGATCAAGTGACAGGATTCTTGGGGCAATTTCAATCTCAAGGGAAGTGTTCTTGATGTCCCCAACAGCAAGGTACTTGCAGTTTAAAGATGGGGAGTGCTTATAAGTCTCCACCTGATAGATGTGAGGGAGAAGTCCAGATGCAGCAGTGACTACTTGCCAGGCCTGATCAGGAAAGAAAATAGGATTAGTTAATCTCAGCCGGTAAGGTTTTTTTTAATCTGAGGTTATTACTTGAGCACTGGCATTATTGTCAGCGACCCCTCCATGGGCTGCCCTATTTTTATTGATGCACAGGGCAGACCCACGCTCTGTATTTAGTTTTTTTGTGGCTGGGAAGCTTCCCCGTCCCCTGCCCCTCCCCTCCCTGGAGCCACCCTTCCTTTGAAGAGGCATTGACTTATAAAATGTCCTTGATGGCAGTGGAAGCATCTCCTCCTAGGTGGTTGATTCCCTCAGGTAGAGGCTGCTGAAGCTGCTGTCTGTTCCCACAAGGCTGGTTTCCTCAGGGTGTCTTCTACAGTGTTTATGGTTTTCTTGGTGCACTTCTCTATAAGCTGGTCTAGGGTGGGAGTTGGAGTTGAAGGGAGTGACAGAATGACTTTTCTACAGGCTTTGTTTGCATTGCTGGAGACTATTTCTAGTATCAACTGTTCTTGTATCTCTAGGTTTTTTACTCTCTTTTCTACAGGAGCACAAACCCATTCAAAAAAGCCCATAAATGCCTCTGAAAAAGACTGCCTAATAAAATTACAGGGTTGGATTCGTTCTTTGGATGGCATGGTCAAGAAAGCTTTCTCTGCAGCATCTTTAACTTGATCTAGAACTATTTTTGGAATCCCCCCAGCCTATTTCCACACCTGCTACCAGTCACCCTCACTGACCAGATGATCAAAGGTGATATCATTCCCATCTCAATCAGTGGAGCATTCAGAGTTCTGCAAAAGCTGTGGAAGAAGGTCTCCCACTAATCTTTTCCACATTCGCTCCCATAATTTATATTCGGATGATGTGAACAAGCAATTAAAAAGCCTTTTTAAATCTGCAAGAACCAGCATGTATGAAGTATATGTTGCTTTTAAAAGACTCCTAAAAAACTCGCTTTTCTGGCTGAATTCACGCTGTGTTCTGCAAAGTTCTTTGATGCTGATGGTTCCCACCTGGGGTGATCTCCCCTCGCATTATAAGCGACTTGGGTTAGGAAAGGTGAGTTGTTATTTTCGACCACTTCTGGTCTCCCTGGCACTGCACTCCCGGTTCCCCTGTTACTGTGAGAACCAGAACCCAGAGCGTGGGAAACAGGAGGGTGGTGGGCGGAAACCTGAGCGGAGGCAGCCGAGGAGGAGGAGGAGGAGGAGGAGGAGGGGGCTGGTGATGACACATCAATGGGAGGAGCAGTGGGTGGAACCATGGGTGGGGTGAAAATTCCCTCCCGCAAAGGAGGAGGAGGGACCCAGGGAGAGGGGAGGATCAGGAGTCTGGGAGGGAAGAGAGAGAAAGGGGTTCTGGGAAGAAGAAGCATCTGCTACAAGGCTGAAACTTTTCTGTGGTGCTTCGGTGGGATGAGAGAAAGAACCATCTTGGAACTGAGAACTAGGATTTCTAATCGGGATAAAGGGATTGGATTGAGGGATCAGGGTGAGGTCCCTGAGAGTGTGGCCATCACTACTAGAGCAGGGGTTCCAAGGGGACCTGGGGGAGCCAGGGAGATGGTGGCAACCCTGCATCTTCTGAGGATGGGCTGCTCCCCTCTGTCCACCCAGTGTGAAGGAAGGGAATGGGAGAAGAAGGTGGGGAAGAGGCGTTTCTGGAGAAAACCAGGGGTAAACTCGCGGTTTGGTTTTTAACTCCCTTTTCTTTCACTTTTAACACATCCCAAATCAACAGAAATAATGGCAAAATCCCTCTTTAATGGAGGAGTCACCTCTCTTTGTTAAATCAATCAATTTAGCACCTACTTGTTTCCAAAACACAAAATTTTGCACATCTTGTGAAGTAACATTTGGAAAGTTAAAAAACAACCACCTCATGAACCTTTTAACAATGCCTTTTGAAAACACAAGACCCGCCTTTCCCAGGGACTCTGTAACTTGGTAATAAACTTCCCTTTGTTGGGTAGACAGCCTGGTGCCCATCCTGTCTGCCTAGCTTAGCTTCCAACCATCCTCTGCAGGAAAAAGGAGAGAAAAGAAAAAGAGTCCTGAAATCCAATGGGGACAAACTGAGCATGCCATGCGTTGTGTGTCCCCTTGCCTTGGGAAACAGCTGTCCACCCGCCGAGCCCCTGGCCGGGTCCCTCTCAGACCATCAGAGAACTCACCAAACTATCAACTTCAGGAAATAGAGCTGCAAAAGGGATCCTTGGTCCCAAGACACCTTCCCAGATGCTGACAAGAAAGCTACGTCTCTTTCCTCTGGGAGCACCGCTGACTAAAACGGAGTGTGTTCACATGGAGGCGATGGCACAGCATGGTTTATGAATGCAGGGGCATGTTTACCGGCAGTATAGTCTGTCCGTTGGGTTTCTTCACGCGGAAACTGTGGCACCGCTTCCCACCAATGATTCTTCTCAATGAAAGCTCAGCGCTGCTCCCTGCCACCACTTCTTCGTGGTGAAAGTGTGGCACCGCTTTTTGCCACCGCTTCTGCACCGTGGCAACATGCAGCGCCAATGCTGGCAATCCTTCCAGCAGCGAAAATGCACGGAGAAAGCCTTGCGGCAACAAAGAAGGCTTAACGTTGGTGTGCCACCTGCGCCTGGCTCTCAGCAGCCACGGGATGGAGGTTCACCGCCTGGCTGTCCCACGAGTGGCCAGAGGGCAGACACTTGTGTGGCCACCCCCGAGTCTCTGCTGAGACTGGTGTGAGTGGCGGTGATTGCTGTGGCGTGGGGAGCACAGCAGCAATCACCTGCTGCTGTGGACGCATGAGGAAACCAAGGCAAAGGAATAAGGGAAGGACACTTGTCTGAATCTCCAAATCTTTAATGACGAAGTTGGGGTAGAATAAGTGAAGGGAATCTGAACCTGAAGGGGCTACTTTTATAGGGTAGAGGGAACATGGGGAGGACACAACCTTTGAAAAATAGGAGGGCATTAGGGGAGGGGTGCAGGGTAAGGGCTCCCCAATAGAAGCCAGCATGGGGAGGGAGCAAACTTTACTACCCAATTCTGCTTTGAGGAAGGGATGAGAGACAGGGAACACTGCAGAACCAAAACAGTGTGCTATCTTTGACAGACAGGGGTGAGACAAGGGAACAAGGGAGGTATACAGGTGGATTGACATGTGGATTGACATACATTTTGTCGGGGAAAACTGTGGTAAACAACTCAGGACTGAACCATTAGGGAAGCCAAATGGGGTACATAGACAAAACCATTACAAACTTATAACATGGAATATTAAAACATACTGCAGAAGAACCAACTGTGAAATAACACTACCGCAATTCTCTACAACAGGGATCATCACTGGCTGATACTTTGCTTCATCCAGTATGGAATACTGAATATGATGTAAACATTGCAATCAATGAGAATCAGTGAGTTATGTTGGAAAATGCTAAGATCTCAAAAATCACAAACATGGAAAGAAAGGATTTGGTTTTCATGATTCTTAGGTATTATACCTACAATTTTTTGAGAAGTGTATATTGAGTCCCTAAGCTTTTTAATTCCTCCTTTTTTTCACCTAATCTAGGCTGGTACAACAGAATATAAAGGAGAATGGTAATCAAAATGAAATTTCTTCCTATTCCACTCCCTCAGATATCCTCCTATTTTTATAAAGGTGGCAAGTTTAAATGAAATACTTGCATTCTTGAAAAAATTGCATTATTCACAAGGATTCTGGCTGGCAAAGCAGAAAAGTCATGGCATTCACCAGTCCCTTCTGTGGGTGAAAATGTCTGCCTCATTTGTTTATATGTTCACTTTTATATAGGGCCCCAGAGACGGGACTGGGCTGCAAAGGAAAAAGGGTGGAGCATGGAGGAGACGTGTTCCTTACTCAAACCCAGTAAAAATCAGTAAAATCTAATACAGCCTGAGATGGTTTTTTTATTATGCAACTTTCAGTCACCTAACCTAGCACAGTGAAGGTAGATGAGTATCTGCATGAGCAGGTGACCAGGTGTCACTGCCAGACTCCTGAAGTTTCAGCCACAGGTGTCACATACCTGCCTGCAGGGCTCAGCTGGGGTTTGTGTCATGGCTGATCAAGTTTAAAAGCTTCCATCTTTTGACCCCCACCCCTCATCAGACTTCAGTGAGTAAGTTCTGTCATAATTGATCCTGGATGAGTGTTCACTATTAGTCAGTTTTTTAAAACCAGCTGGGGTACATGCTGATAACAATAGTTAACTCACAGAGTCAAGAAAACAAGTGGTCTTTGGATTGTAGTCTGCTACTTGTGGTCCTCAAGAGAAGACCCAGTAACAGTGGCAATGTAATCCAAAGATATATCAACCCTTTATTTTAAATTTGTAAGTACTACAGCTGTTGTGAAATCTTCATTTGAAGTTGGAATGGGCAAAAAACACCCTCTTGGGCACATGATTGATAACACTGGTCACTTGCGATACCTATAGCATATCAAAGTGTTAGGCCAGTTTCTGATAAGTTACTGTGTGGTAGATCACATCTTGCTTTTCTAAATAGAAATTTAAAATAGTGTTTCTGGAACTGTTATATGGGACTTCAATTATTGAGGGGTTTTTATTTGACTGAGGGGTTTTTTTTTACAGCTTAATTTTATTAATGTATTCATTGGGTTAAGCAGTTATCTTAAAATGCCAGTAATTGTTCAAATGCTGGTCTGTAAATAAAGCATGACCTTAATATTTTAGAAAATGTAAACTTTGGACCTTTACCAATATATTTTTTTAAAATGTTGCTCCATTTTGCATTCAGTAATATTAGTTTGTAAACAAACTATACATTTTGTACCTGTGCAACATCAGAGGATGTGTATTCATTGCATTTTATTGGTTCTCTTGAGGAACATGATAAATGACCATTGTTAAAATGTTTTACTGTATCTGATCATAGATATAAAGACAGTAGGTCCAAAATAGGATCTACTTTGTTTTTTCTAAATATATTAGTCTTGCTATGTTTTCTTATCTGAAACTGTGTGCACTTCTTCCTGGGTAAGTTGGGGTTGAAAAGACTGTACAAAACAGATCTGTTGTGGTAAGAGTTAAAAAATGTAAAATGTGAAGGAAGTAAATTTTCTCAAGGTCTGCTATGAAGAATTCAAGAAGCCATGAGCTTAAATTACAACAGTAAACCATTATGTTAGGAAAAAAAAAAACCCCAAGTTTTAAAGGATTTTAATAATGAATCACTAAAAGAGAATGCCTGGGGAGGTACTGCAATCTCCACTAGTAGTAATATTCAAGAACGGGTTAGACAAAAAAAATTAGGAATTATTTAAATATGGTTAATTCTGCTTTGAAGCTAAGGGATAAGCACAATAACCTCTCAAGAAGACCCTCATTGGGATTTTTTTGGAAAGTAATAAATTAAAATGGAGCTCACTGGGACAGCAGACACTGGAGTAGAAAGACCAAACTCAAGTATTACAGCTAAAGAAAACTACTGCTGACTTTTGAGCACAAGTAGTCAGGCTGTGAGTTTGAAATTGTTATAGAAAAGCAGACTTGCATTAGAAGACTTACAGTGGAAAGTGTGAGAACATTGTGTGTTTCATCAGAGTAGATTCTGCTTTTGTTACAGTTTATAGCTGTAAAAGTTACAGGTGTGGAGGGATGGAGGTATCCTTAGCTGTATACGTACTCTTGTTAATGTGTTCTAAACTAATCTGTATATTCTGAAGGAATGTGAGCCTATATATTGTGGCAGTGTGTCGGTGAAGTTCAGGTAAATTTGTCTGCATCTTAAAATGCTTACTGCTCCCATCTCTCTCCTGTCTGTGCCAAAAGACACCATGCACAAAAGCAGGTGTTCATCAGCTCCAAGCCAATGAGGTTTCCCAGCGTGATAAACTGTAAGCTATGAGCTGTGTTCATTGAGGAATGGGCACATTTTTATTTTTGCTTAGACAAAGATGGAAACTTCTTTTAGCGTTTGAGACAGTGGATGAGATTCTGTCCAATTAGTGGAAATTTTGCTGTTGGTGCTATTAGGGCCAGACTAATCTAACATTCCTTGGAAGGTTTTTGTTTGGACTTTTTAAGAGAAAAAGGAACAAAAATAACACATTTTGAACTGCAGTATCTGCTTAATTTCTTGTCCTAATCGTATTAGCCATGGGTATGCTGATGATTATTTGGCACAACTCAATTTGGAAACTAGAAGTTCAAGAAAGAATACCCTTCAGCCCTTCTCCATTCACCAGCCCTTCTTTTACATACTACTCTTACCAATCTTTTAAAAAATCTTAGAAAATTAAGCAAATCAAAATTGAATGAGTACTTGTGGTTTTGTTTTTCTGCTTTAATCTTTTAGAAAGGTTTAGACCTGGTGATCAGAGTTTTAAAGCTTGTTTTGTGACAAGAAATTCCTCGTGCTAACTTGAGTAGCAAAAGTTTGAGGTCAGCTTCTATTTGTTCCAGTAAGCTACAGAATGCTAAATACTCCTCAAAATCTTGCCATTTAGGTAGCCAAACTGGAGTTCTTGTGAAGATCAGGCCTCAGTTTTCTAATACAGAGATGCTTTCATGTTTCCATTAAGTAGGGATACTTAAAACTATTAGAGTTATATGAAATACAAAATAAATTACCAGATTATATCAGAAAGTCTGCCCTAAAGTTAGTAATATTTTAGTGGCAGATTATCTTTTATTAAATATTCCATTAATACAGACAACTATGGTGTTATAGAGAAGACAAAGCATTTGTAAAAGACTACATCATCTACTGCACACAACAGATGACTTTTCTGAATGTAAACATTTACAGATAACTACAGAAGAGGATAATTCTGCCTGAACGGTAAAGACAGATCTCAGGAATTATCATCTTTTCAGTTTATCCTTAGATCACAGTAGTGTGCCCAGTCAGCCAGAAATGTGAACATTTCGTTAAAAATTCCATTACAGCAGTTGGTCTGTCATTTGTCTTCATATAGATCTAAAACAATTATAGTAACGTACTTATTTCAGAACAGATGGAGGATTTCCATTAATAGATCAGTTACATATATGTCATAAGAGTTGAGACACCTATTCTCAGGAAGTATTTTTAAATGTAATGCAAGAAATCTGAAAAAAATAGAATAGCTAAAAATAGTGATTTATACAGTATTGATATGTTTTACAGTGTTTTTCTCTCCGTTGTCCTTCTATATTATTTTTATTTTCATGCCCTGATCATTTAGATATTTATAGAACTCTGAAACTTGGTGAACTTTGGTGGTTCCAATATGAACACCAATGTAACTCTTTAAAATAGAAATAATATTTTTTAATCTCGTTAATACATATTTTTAAATTTACTGGGTTTTTTTACTGTTTGGTTGTTAAGCATCTAAGTTTTATAGGTAAACCTGAAAAACATGTGAACTGTATGAATAAAGGTGTACTACATCTGATCTGTTTGGTATAGGGGTATCAAAAAACATGGCCAAAGCAGAACTTCTGGATACCTGTATTTCAGGTTCCTTCCATGATTTTTTTTATAAGTCTGTACTTTGAGAGCATGAGTTTGTAAAAAAAGTGGTACTAACAAGAAATTAGAATTCTTACTGAATTGAAATTCCAAATGTATTTTCTTTTTTATAATACAGAGCCATTTTAAAGAAGTATGAAGGAGAGTAACTCCATGGCAATAAATAGATCTAAAGTTTTATTTTCATTCAGAAGTAAAATAACTTCATCGATACGATGCATTAAATACAGATAATCTTTATTAAATCATTAAAACATGAGAGCTCTTTTTTGCTTTTTCCACCAGAGCATGGGAATTTTTTTTGTTTAGAAAAATGTATTTCTGATGTAAACCCATTCTGTTAAAAACAATAACCAAAATCACCCAAACCCTACAGTGCTTCCACTTGCAGTTTTCTGACCTCCTCCCAAAGGCCTATTTATACATTTAAGTAATCTGTATATGCAAGCAACATAGAATATTTTTGTCTTTTAAAATTTTCGAAAGACCAAGCTTCCCTGCATCTAAGTTTTCATTCTTCACTAATAAAAATCCTTTCTTTTTCCAGGGTAGAGGATACCACAAGCAGTGCTTACAGGATCAAAGCACTGTAGTGCAAATTGCTCAGACAGGAGAATGGAGTATAGTGGAGCTCCACTAGCTCCACTGATGGAGCTTCCACTAGGGTCAGTGGAAGAACAGCCTCAGATTGGAGCAGCTTAAGCTGTTGTGGAGCTGCCTTCTGAGACAGCAGCTTTGTTTTTGTTTTTGTTGTTTTGACTGCCATGGTGAAACTGAAAATTTTTGCTAGAAGGGGTAATCTCATTTTCTCTTTTCCTTTCTTCCTGTTGCCCTTTGCACCTGTTTCCTTTGCCTCATTTGCCTCAGATTTAGTGGCTCTTGTGCCTTTAGAGTAAGCCAGTGGAATGATCTTACATAAGAAAGCAATTCAGTACTTAAGTGAGTTGGTTTTAAATTGACGACCTTGTTGAACAAATTCATTGATCCAAAGTAAGTGGCAGGAGCACATTACTGGAGTAAGAAGAAGGAATGGAGCAGGGCTTGCCCAGCTTTGGCACCAAATTAAATACAAGGTGATGAGGCACAGCACATGTTGCACAGTGTTTGTGAGAAGCTGCTAGGCAACAGAAGGCATCTGACACTATTTCCTTGCAACATCCACTGCTGGTAGACTTGTGGAATTTTGAAGAGGGTGATCTGTGTGTGTCACTTCTGCTTTTTCAGGAGGATGGAATTTGGGGGTTTGTTGGAAAGGATGGATAAATATAATTAATTGCCTGGCAAAAGATTCACAATAGTACAGCCAGGATGAAAACAATCCCCCCTACTGCCTGGACAATACCCTTACCTACAGATAGGTCCAAAAGTCAAATGGACTGTTCCATCTCAACCCCCAAAATGCATGGTTCATCCCACACCTGTAACCCTCCCCTGAAGCATCAAGTGTCTGTGACCCCATTGGCCCAAGTCTTGTTCCAGCCCATCTTGAAGCCCCTTGATAAGGGGTCTCTGGGGGGCCAGACGCCCTCTTGGAACTTCCCCTCTCTTGGATCTTCCCCCTCTTAGAACCTCCACCCTCTCCTAGAGCATCCTCTCTGCCCCTTGTCTCTCCCCTCAGGCCTTGCCACGTGCTGCGTCTGGCAGCTCCAAGCAAGACCTTTCACCATCCCTAATAAACCTTATATTCTAAGAGCAGCCTTCAGAGATCTCTCCTCTCCATTCATCAAAGCCATCCTGGAGCACAGCCTTCCCTACAGGGGTTGAAGTAGTGGGGGCTATTTTTCTCCATCTTTTTTGTTGTTTACTACTGTTTGCCTCTTATCCAACAGTTCTGCACAGTCTTGAATGATAGCAAATTGCTCAAGCTAAGGAGGAGGGGTTCTTAAAAAAGACAATAGGTATTTAACCAACTGAAGGACAAAACTGGAATCCCAAAAGTATGAAAAAACATATATTTTTTCAACGTAAGTTAATCTTTGCAAGTATTAGAAGTAAACAATATTCACTTCATAGTCATTTGCATCTATTGTAGATCTGGTTTAGATACCATGCTGGGTAAAGAAAATTAATCACTCTTTTTAGTTAATACAGATAATATATATCCAAAGTATAGAGATAGGTTCTGTATTTCACTAGGTGTTGTCAGCTAGACTGATTTTATCATAATTTGATTTTCTGCCTTTTCAGTTTAGAGTTGTATGGCAAACCTAAAGTTTTCAAATGAGTGATTTTGATTTATTTCCACCTATTAATCTGTTTAAAGGCCTGGATATAAAAATTGTAGGTTTTCTTACATATCCACTTGGTACTTGACATTAATGAGTTTTAAATGTAATTCTTGAGTTGTGTAGCTGAGGTATTCCTTGTTAAGAGGATTCCTTGTTAAGAATGCTTTCAGAAGGCATTCCTTGTTAAGAGTTGCCTTCTTTCAGTGTAAAGTTCTTCCCTGGAAATTCTGTTCACTG